CTGGCGCCACAACCTAGCCCTGCACCTGCCCCACGCCTGCCGCCTGCCCGCACCCCTGACCACTACTTCCTGCGTGTGCCCGGCCCTGCTGCCCTCCTGCCACAGCCCAACAGGTACTGCCCGGCGCAAGGGGCATCGCAGGGGGGTGGAGGGGGCATACCGTGCCACCCGTGACCCACCCCAGAGCTGGCTGCATTGTGTTCCCAGGTTGGCACCAGAGCCATGGGGCCAGAACCTGCGGCGCCTCGTAGCAGGGCCCCCCCAGGCCCTAGCGCTACCCCCAGAGCTGCGTGAGGCTATGGCCGCTGTGGCCTACGTGGCGGAGCAGTTGCGCGAGCAGGACATCTATGACACGGTGAGGCCCTGGGGGCAGGGCCTGGCTGGAAGGGGACGTGGCTAGGGGGCAGGGGGTGTGGCCTATGAAATAGGGGCAGGACTTCTGACCTGCAGGGACCATGGGGGCATGGCCTAGTTGGAAAGGGGCGTGGCCTGGGAAGTAGGGGCAAGCCTAGGGATGTCCAGGCCCCCAGGGACATTGTCTAGCTGGAAAGGGGCATGGTTTGTGGCAGGGGGCATGGCCTGGCAAGTAGGGGCAGGCCTAGGGATGTAGTGGGGTGGGTTGGGCACCGGAGGTGGGTGTAGTTAAGGGAGGGAAGGGGGGCCAGGCCTGACCCTGGCCCCAGGTAACATCCACCCTGGCCCCTCCCCCAGCTGCAAGATGACTGGCACTACGTGGCCATGGTGGTTGACCGTCTCTTCTTGGTCGCCTTCCTGCTGGGCACCACGCTGGGCACTGCTGCCATCTTCCTGGGCGCCAGCCAGAACCGCCCACCCCCTGAGCCCTTCCCCTGACTTCCGACCCCACCGTCACCTCTGCCCCCAGCCTTCCCTTCCCCACCCCTCCTCTGTGACCTTTGACCCCCCACTCAGGGCCACCTCTGAGCTCTGACTCCTCCTTGGAACCACCGACCTCCCAGCTCCCTCCCCTGACCGCCTCTAAGACCCCTAACCCCCTCTGACCCTGACTCCATCTCTGACCCTATCTGTGACTCCTGATCCGATCGCTGACCCCATAATCACACCACTGACCCCCTGACCCCATCTATGATCTTGTAATCCCCGCTCTACCCCCCTGCATCCATCTCTGGCCCCATAATCCCCACTCTGACTCCATCTGCGATCCCTGATCTCTGACCCTGCCACAGGGACTCACATGTGAATAAAGACACAGACACTGGATCCCAGAGGCAGGAGTCTTTGTTGGGGGGGTAGGGGGGCCACCCGCACACCTGAGTTCTCCGGGAGACAAAGGGGCACTGGGGAGGATAAGCAGGGGGTGCTGTGAGCCTGGACACCTGGGTCCTCTGGGGATGGGAGCAGGAGGGTCCAGGAGCCTGGACACCTGGGTTCCCTGATGCCCCCCCCCAGCCTGGCTCCTACCCCCTGCGGCCCCCAAACACCTGGGTCCCGGCGGCCAGGCGGGCCAGGGCAGCAGGGGGAAAGCGGCCCAGGGCCCAAGCGTGGTGGCGGGTGAGGTCGCGACCCCCGCGCCGTGCCAGGAAGGCCTCGGACTCCGGCTTGTCATTGGCCACATGCATCCGCAGCTGGAAGCATCCCTGTGCCACTGCCGCCTGGGAGGGG